TTTGTTGTTTTTTGTTTTTGTTTTTTTTTTCTTCTTTTTTTCTTTCTTTCTATGTTTGTTTCATGTATTATTCTAATGACACGTTGCCAAAGTAAACGAAACGTTTTATACTTACTCAATCATGGACGAGAAACGTTACTTTCTGTTTCTATTCCATGCACACGAAAGAGAGTATCTTAAGACTGTATCGCATCAAGTCACCGTAACCAGATTGGTTTTTTTCCCGTATGATAGAGGCTATATGTATGTTAATAGGTTATATATAGTAATACTCTTTTAACTAATTTAATGCATGGAGGTTCTAACAGTTTAAGTTTTAGGGATGCGTGACTATACATACAAGTCATGTTGTATATTGTAATGAGAAAACTGTTTATTCATTTTTCAATGCGTGCGAAATGTTCGCCGTCAGAAAAAAATGGAAACTAAAAGTACATACCCAAAGCGTGATTAACTGCTTAAAATGTCATGCAATATAAATCGTGTACATGTACTTTGTGAAAATAATCTAAAGGTATTTTGAATTAGACACGTAACTTATTTAATATAAATATATAAATTGTACCCTCAAAATCAACCGCAATTCTAAAAAAAAGAAACCGTTCGTATATTGCATACAAGAATATTCTCATTTACCACTCAACTCCTACAGCTGCTCACATGAAATCGATACTGTTTGGCAGCAAAATCTACTAAGAATATTTATGACGAATTATTTTGGCTAGAAACAAGCATTTTTGTTTTCACTGACAAAGTACAGTTGTAGTTTCGATTACGATGGTAACATGATGAAAATCAGAACTTTTACGTCTGTTTCATGTATTAATGATGTTTCACAAATAGTGCTTGGCCGTAGAAATGAGTTCAATAATTGTGAACAAAATCATTGCAGCCCATATGTGTTTGCCCGTAAATCCAACCCGTATAAAACCCATATAAAAGTCCTATATAAGATTCCCTATTTTTATCCTGCGCGGATTCAGAGGGAAGAGGGGTTACGAGGTCATGACTCCTATGGACTTTGGCTAAATGTCATACCCAATCTAAGAATTGTATATCACCTGTGAAAACCATGCAAGAACGAGTGAATATTACGCAATAATCTGACTCGTTACCCAATCTAGAAAACTAATGAAATGCTAGAAAAGTAGTAGAATGCAACCCGCTCTCTTGTCGATATTTTGCGATCCCCCTCCTGGATCCGCGCCTTTTAAATGCCATGAAAGAAAGCCCGAAAGGGGGAGCTCAAGTGTGCCAATATATGATCCAATAGGACCAAATAGCCGAGATCCTTCTTGGTCTTTTCTAAAATATTGCTATCAATATATAGTCCAACAAAAATATTTCTTGAATTATTGATTATATCAGGAAGGGATAGAAACAAATACTCAGTCACGTGACTACGTCCGGTGTTTCAAGATTACATCGTCTGCTGAGAATTCCTGTATTCTTGCGCCGTGTTTGAAAGCTGAATGGTAGTTTCTATTTATAACTACATACATTCCATTATTCTTAAAATAAAATCAGAAAACACAAATTCGTGAACAAATAATATATTTCCAAAGCTATTACATTTATTTAAAGCTATTATTGTAATCCGGGTTACCTAGATGTCCCTGTTACACACCATACCTTCGTCATAAAAATAGTTTTGTATTATTATATTACTCTATAGCAGTAAACCAAAACGTTAAAGCACAATCATTAAAAAGCTATGCGGTTTTAAAATTACCACGTGACTCAATAAAGTAAGTGTATAGTAGTATCTAAAATCCGGTAAAACCAAAGTTTCATTCATTAAATAGATTTTAATTTTGACAATTCATATACACGACATGTATGATTATTAGTCACTTCACCGACTTTGCAACCTCTTTGCGGAGAGTAGTTTATGTTATAACATTATATACAAAGCACGTAAAGAGAATTATGTGTATTTACTATATTCTTTAAAAAAAAAAACAACAATTCACCGTACCGTGCCGAATTTCATTAATGAAGTTGTCTAGCTTGTCAGTTTGGAAAAGTTCATTACAAATTTTTGGGGATGTCAAACGAACAAGCTACACTGGGTTTTTTTTGTCAGGTCATGCTGACCCAACTTTATTTATACTTGTGACGAAGAAAGATTTCCAACTTTATACATGTATATGCTATAATAGTAAATATGCATAAAAATTACTAAAGCCTCCACTATAGATAGGCATTACTTTTTTAAGTTACTTCTGGAAGTTATTCCGGAAGATTTTCATGCTATATATAGATACATGTATATATAAGCTACAGCTGCATTCTTTTACACTATTTGGTCTCCCTTGGAGTATTTATAGATCCGTATATACATTTGTTAATAATGTCTTTTTTACAAATGACTCATAAATATGAATAATGACAAATGAAAAATATATACGTCTTCGAAAATTTGGCGGGGGGCAATCGAGTCAAGGTCAAGGTCAATGATCCTGGTCAGTCGGTCATTAGAACTACACATGCGAGCCTGGTACCTGTATTCCCTATAGTCACTGTTCATAAGAAAACTTTTTATTAGTTCAGATATTTGATTTTCCACGATTGAGTAGCAAATCAAACTAGAAACAAATCAAACTGGTATAACAAAATTATGCACTCTAAAAAAGGGGAAGTGGTTTATTCATCCGAGCAATAAATTTCACCACATTGTAAAATGCATAAAATTTAAAGTAGTCATTAAAAAAGCACTTAGGAAACAATTGAAATACACTTAAACGGTTTCATTTCGTCAATACGAACTATATCAATTCGACTTGAATACATTACTTGGCTACATTACATACTTTCATTTTCGTATAACAGTTTCATTAGTTAAAGTAAATTCTTTACACGCGTTGAATCAAATGGCCCAGAACAACAGTTTTACCCATAGCCAAAACGCCTACAACAATTGAATCAAAACACTGCAATTAATATGCTTAAAATGTGCACCCCTTGTTTCTACAAAAAGTCTTAAATCTGTGATTTGTTGACGTTCATCAAAACAACCAAAATTTAAAAAAAAACAAACGACAAAATAAATAAATAAAATAAAAAAAAATAAAAAATGCACGCATCGTTTACATGTTAAGCAACCGCCACCCCCTCCCACACACACACGTCACATCCCAACTAGCAATTAGAACACATAGTAGAAGAACTGGCTTTTATCAAAAGCACGTGCACCACTGATAATGTAGTATACATGTCACCGTGTCTTATTTAAAATCATGATTTCAAACAACAATACAATTTTTTCTGCCAAGTCCAATTTAGCTAACTTCCAAGCCCACCTTTTAGCAAAACGATCTCATGCTAACAACGCGTTGTCACTTCATAATTCTCTATCTTGCCGATAATGTACGCAATATGGTCACTTTTTCATTTTCAAAGTCCTAGCTTAGCTTAATTGATTTTTTTCCACTTGCATGTAAATTGCATGTAGTCATTGCTTAATTTGAAAACCTTGCATTGTGTACATGTTGCCTGATTTGCACAGTCATTGCTTAATTAATAGAAGTCATTTTAATGTATAATGTTTGCACATTACTTCTTGCAGCAATAACTTTGCAAAAGCTATACATTTGTCCATTAATTTGCACAGCAAAATACATATGAGCCGCGTCACGACAAAACCAACATAATGGGTTTGCGACCAGCATGGATCCAGACCAGCCTGCGCATCCGCGCAGTCTGATCAGGATCCATGCTGTTCGCTTACAAACTGTATAACAAGTAGAGAAACTGATAGCGAACAGCATGGATCCTGATCAGACTGCGCGGATGCGCAGGGTGGTCTTGATCCATGCTGGTCGCAAACGCACTATGTTGGTTTTGTCGTGACACGGCTCATATGTGTATAGATCGAAATATGCCAACATCTTGCCATTTGCACCGTCCATGTATTATTAAATATATTTCAACACGCGCATGAATTTGTTTCCATTACCAGACTAAATCTGCTTGATTGAATTTCAATGCCTAATGAGAACAGTAATTTAATTTGCACAGTTCTTACCTAATCGAACAGAATTTATTGCCTTGTGCTCAAATGTGAGTCCACGTCTTTCCACGTTTTATTTGCACAACCTTTGCTCGGTCGCACACACAGCAAAAATGTATATATACATTTTTTATACACATGCATATCATATATTTTTTTCATTACAGAAACACTTGTTTTTAGTCGAAGACTTCGCAATTGTTGACATTTTTTATGTCCTTAATCTGTCAAACAAGTTGCATGCTGTGTACCACAGCCTAATCTTGATTATTTTGCTTTATATTCAAACAATTTGAAACAGTTTAACTTGCATAACTTCTACTTACTATTGTATTGTCTTTTTACTACAGTCCTTCATAGTAAAAAATATTTGAAATTGTATTGGTATGTATGGCATATTTTGCATAGTTTTAGTAAAACTATGTAAATTACATAATGAAATAATTGTTTATCATTGTTTAGTGATGTTGGGTTAGGGTTGGGCGGGGTTTAAGCTGCACGCACGGAAAGGCCAGATTTTTTTCAGCCCACCTCGTCGAAACATAGCATAGACATTTGCGACTTTTAATTATTTAACTTATGAATGATATATACGTATCGTATCATTTCGATAAAATTGGACAATCAAGTCTATAACCTCGGTCACGACAAATCTCAATGAGCTCAAGTGTTTGTTTGAAAAGATAGCTGTATAATTATCACAAATATTTAACTGATAAATTTAGCCCCGCTGTGCGCCTCAGCATTCAGTTTATTATCCGCATCAGCGAATTCTATTGAGCGAATTTAATTGGCCGAACGCTTACTGAAAATCCCAGGCTCCTCATTGGCTACGCGCGCTCAGGATTTTCCAGTAGAAATGTATTCATCGTTGCGGCGGCGAAATCAAATGTAAAAGTTGATTCTAATATAAATATGAGACGCTGGAATATCCAGATATTTGCAAATAAAAGAAAATTCTTTCATTGATTGATTCATACCACTCTGTAAACAACTTGTAGTAAAGAGTAAGGTTTATAAGATTCATTGTAGCTTAATAAGTAACAAATTTATTACATTATAACGTTTAAAAAAAAGAAATCACTAAAAATGAAAATATGTAAGTATTAACGTGAGTTATAGTATTTAAATTTTGTACTTAAATCCTATGTAATATTTTGAGATATATTATAAATATATTATATTTTTTTGCCTTTTACCTTTTTTGTAGGATATTTTATTAAAAGTAAATTGCAATTGGGTTTCGAAATTCGAGAACGGAAAAATAATACACAAAATTAATTTCTTTGTTAATAAAATTGTTAAATAAAAAAAATCGATACAATATATAAATAACATAGTTTCTGAATATATCACTAGGGAAAATGTAATGAATGGTAAAAAGACTGTAATTTTTCGATGCATCCGTTAACATATATGCAAGTACAAAACGAAAAGTGTTTGCTTTTATACGAACAAAACTACCAATGCTTTTTTATGCAACTTTCAGCTTTTTCATCACTGCTCACGGCTGTTTTGTTTGTAAGCCTGCCTTTAGCGAACGCACTGCCAGTACGACCGGTACCTACGGAAGAAAACACTGCGCTCAAAACCCGAATTCCTCGTTTACGCTCTTTGATTCTTTCGGGCAACCAACTGACCCTTCTCCGCGAAAGATCCTCTTCATCTGCTGATGAATTTGGAACCACATTACGATCTAGTTCTGACGTATCAGAGACGGATTTTAGACTTGGCCACACCGGAAATACCCTTCCATCTAAAATAACATCAGAGAATACGGACAGCTCGCACTCTCGAGAAATTCGCAGTGTAACCTACAGTGATACTCAAGTACCTGTTGAATCCTCAACGGAGAATGTACCGACACAAGAAGCAACTTCTAGTCCGGTTAAAGAGCAAACTACCACGGGTTTTAAAGAAGAGGTTACAACCCCCAGTTCGATTCAAGAAGAAACAACCGTCACATTAACCACGGAGATACCAACTGTTGCACCGACAGTTGTCTTAGTGCAAGAGTACCTCGAGAATGCCTCAACGCAAGTCGATTATCTATTGGCTAGGTTGGACAAACAATATAGATTGGTAAGTGATGAAAAATAAAAATATCTTTTCTTTTTTCTCATTGTAGGATTTGTACCAGACCGGTCGTTTATTACGTCAGCGTCTTATTAGAGACAAAACTGTTTGACATTTAAAGTTATTTAATTAATTAATCAATTAATTAATTCATTTCAAGAAAGAAATAAAATATAAACAGGCGACAAAGAATAAATTTTTCAGTATAAATTATGCAATGAAATGACCTGCTCAGGAAATTAGGAAATTCCATTTTTTAAGTTAATAAGAAAAAATCCCATGACTGATTCGAACAATGACGCTAAAAATTCTTTATCCTAATACATAAAGATTTATCGAAATGTGTTATGTATTTGACCCTAGGGTTCAAGTCTCGGTCACTTTACCGGTATTCCTACCTATATGTTTAAATCACGGATACTTATACATGTATAACAATGATATTAAATGTAAGTTTTTTTGTGATTTTACAGATTGGTGTAGTTGACTATATCCCTGATGAAAGATACCGCCCTTCTTTGCCATCAGATGTTTTGGACAACTCAAGACAATGTGTTCAAATTGAGGTATTTAGTATTCAAATTAATGCGCTTTATACAAAATTAGAAATTTATGTCTTCCTTTCCGGATATTGTGAAAGCTGTCGTGGTTTTCTTTTTTTTCCAAAAAATTGCATAAAATAAAATAATTCACTAAAAATAGCGTTTAGTCAGAAATAAAAAATAATTTACCTATTTGTCGGATTTAATGATTTTTTTTTCCAATCTATAATTTTGATTGCTACAAAAGTATTCTTATCACCGGCCAAAAATCTGGCATTGCTCTGTTCAGTGATTTTCCTTGACCTTATAGGAATAATCCGTGTAAAAAGTGTGTTTTTTTGCTAGCCCTTAACAATTTATACAAAGCCCGTTCAATTTGATATAAACGAAAAAGATTATCAGTGTTGCGGGCAGTTTTATTACTAGAACCCCATTATCATGGTAACTTATGATACCTACAACATTAAAGTTTTAACTCTTAACATTTACGTACGTGAATTTTATAGGCAGTTTTATAACTACCCCCCCCCCCCTCCAATTATCATTGTATTTTAAGCTACCCAAACCATATCTTTATTTACGAACCCTTTTCTTTATCCATATGTTGCTGTTTTTTTTTCTTAAATTACGAAATATATTTATTAACGTTTTTATCTATTAACTCTTTTTTTATTTCCAGCTGACTTTACTGGCAATGCACGAGGTTCTTGTTGATTTTCTTCCTCATTTGAATGCGTTGTATACATTGAATGGTGACACAACAGTTTATATTTCTACAAGGACCCTAGCTTGGTTCATATCAGTGAGTGTGGTAAGTTCTTGTAATATATCCACTAAGTATATCCATTAAACCAATTACGCCATGTTTGAAGATATACTATGCTCATCTTTGAGTGAAATACTTTTATTTCAGAAATTTATTGAAATCTAGTACAAACTTTCTGAAAATGTCTAATCTGAATAAGTGAATGTATAAACTATATTCCTTATGTACTTGTCAAGTCAATTTGGTCTATTTTTAATAATACAAAAATGCCAGTTTTTTTAATGACACTATGTTATCATACTGTGATTAACTGTAGTATGTAGAATTTAAAACATAACATTTTTTTTTCTGTGTGTATTCAAAAATGTTTCTTAATCATTTCAAAAGAAACTACGTAGAAATTGTCAGTTATTGGTGTTTTTCCCAAAATTTGAGCATAATATATATCTTTAGGCATTTAATGGCACATTATGTATCAAAAACTAATGTTTTCCCCCATGAGTTTTATAACGTTCAGACAATAGTGCATCTTACATGTTTTTCACCTGAAGAAAGTAGCACTGCAAGTGAAATATTGTTTAAGAAAGTAACAAAACGTAAACGAAGCGATATGTTGACTTCTATTCAAAGTACTATATCACTGTAACTGTACTTATTGCCCGAAAAGCAAAAAGATGATTAAGATAAATGGTAAATAAATAACTACAATAAAAGGACACTACAAAAGCTTTTTAGAAATAAAATTAAAAGCATTTCTGTGACATAATGACCTTTAAAAATCTATATTTTACCGCAGCAGTTATAATTGCTGAAGGTAATCTAAAAGTACATTGTATAATTATGAAAGTGTTTTTTATTTACAAAATGGCAACCATGTAGAGCATACAGTCATAAGATAAATACATACTGTATATTAGAACTACTGTATAATTATGATAAGAAGGAAAAGAATGACTACTCTGCTTTGACATCCAATAACAATTATCGCCCTTTTCACATGTTTCATATTTTTACGTTTCTTTTCTTTTCTTTCAGTCTCCCCCTGTTTACGATTACATACCAGAAGGGATACAAGGAACCGGTACTAAGAACACGGAGGAGGTCGTCAACACACTCGGAGCTCTTCGGACACAGGCTTCTTTAATGCAACAAGTTATTTCGAATCTGAAAAAATGCTGATGAGCCAAGCCAGGAATGATTATTGTTATCCAAGGGAGACTACTATGTTGTGATCGGACAATCCATTTGTTTTGATTTTTATTATTTATTACGTGTATTTAAATATTGTATTTATTTAACAGACGTTTTTAGTGAGCTGCAGGATATTTTTTACAATGAAATGATCTCACGTGATGTGTTCATATTTATTCCACATCATTTTCTGCTTTTCTAAAATGTGCTTACAAAGTTTTCATACTAGATAGAAATGACCATCCATCGTACTTTTACTGTTTATTTGTTGTTGTTTCCAGTTTCTCTACCTTTAAAAATAAAATTTGTTCAAGGTTTCTTATCAAACGGAGATTGGCTCCATGGGTCCATGGGGAAATTGTGAAAATCAAATAACGGAAATACGGAGTAGAAACAGTATTGTCGATTCACTTTACCGCTTTAGCAAAAATAGAAAATGATATATTTATATTTTTGACAATTACAATTCATGTATATGTACAGTATTTGCTCAGTACTTTCATCATGACATTAACGAAGCATACGAAGTGTTCAAATCATTGTCTTCCAGACGATTGGTGCAAATCAATGTCTTTCAGACGATTAGTGCAAATTAATGTCTTTCAGACGATTGGTGCAAATCATTGTCTTCCAGATGACTGCTAATTATCTTAGCTCACCATATTGTTTGTAATTTATTCCATAGTTACTGTCAATTGTTGTGTATTTAATGTTTAAATTAATACCATCAGATGTTGTGAATTTTTTTACTGCATACAAACTGTATTTAACTATCAATGTTCATGTTTTTGTGTTTCCATACAGCGTTTGTTACTAGATTTGTGAATTTAATTTCATGTTTTTATATTTTTATGTTTTATTTTTTACTAATAAATGGCATATCAAAAACAATATTTACTTATTTATCACATAAAAATGTCTATTTTGCCGACAAAAAAAAAAAAAAAAAAAAAAAAAAAGCATTTTAAGAGAAGTTTCAAGATGCCGTCTTGATTCAGAGGTTACCGTTTAGTACAGGTTCAGGCGTAGTTGGACTGAGTTAATTCATCTTTTATTCTGTTACCCGCGCAAATCGCCCACGCAGTATTATCATGATAATGTGCACGAGCTAGGGAGCAGTTTGTATTTATTTTCTTATATTTTATTATTATTATTTATAAGTTTTATGCAAGATTAAGCAATTCTATAGGATTGAAAAGATCAATTTTATCTCTTTAATCGAATTACCTGCACGAGATCGCAACATTGTACGCCTATTTGATTAAAATTCGTTTCCACTTTCAAAGAACTTTTTGAACCCGCATTGAAACTTTTAACTTATGAAAATTACATCTATAGATTTGAAAAGAAAATATTTTTCTTCAATCGCTCCATGTTATAAACGAGCACCTGGGGATAGGTGTACACTAACAACAGGTTGTTGACAAATACATGAATATTTATAAATGGCAATGAGTATTTAAATTGCTCGAGTAAGAAGTCATTCTGTGAAGATCTTGCTTTAAAACATAGTCAACATGCCGAAATGTGTAGCAATTTGTTTTCTTTGGATATTTCTTACCGGTAAGATTATAAATATATATGTGTTAATTTATAAGTCGTGTACGGGTTTATTCTATGAGCGTTATAAAACAGACTATTCGAGATAAGAAAAACTAAGATTAGAACAAAAACCTTACAAGGAAGGATTCTTGAAAAATAAGAATAAAATATGCTCAGTTTATATACATGCTTTTTCTCTTTTGATAAACACGTGCGTTTATTGTAGGTAAACTTTCAGTAAAATAATAAAAAAAAAATTCTAACATGTATTGTATAGGCGTAGTTTGAAGACAATTTCTCAAGTTCTCGAGATCAATATTTTGGAAATGGTCCCGGGATAGTAGTTACTTTTATTATATGTGTAGAACGATATTTGGTGGGGGTGGGGAGGGGGGTGGGGGGGGGGCTTAAATGAACTTCAAACTCGTTTATAAAGTTTATAAAATACTACATGTTCCCAGTAGCTTCATGAAGTTTTTTTATTAAAATTTTGACTGGATTTTGAAATTTTTAATTTTCTCAAACCTCGATAATTTGTTTACAGGTTAAAGAGAATATTATATTAAGTAGATTAAAAGGGAATAATAATTGCTTTGTACGATAAAAAAAGAAAAGTTTAGATAACGTTAGAGTAAAAATGGTAAGTAAACGGGATATATGCTATTTTTAGCCTCAACTGACGGTAGGATTTAGTTGTACAACACTTTCAAAGCAATACACAAAACACTTGCATTCAGACCGTAATAATGAATCGCCAGGTTTCACTCCAAAACACTTCCCACCAAATGGACCCCTTACAGAATTTACTAGAATATGTGTAAATGTTTGAATTATTGGTATTGACCAGTTAAGGAGATCGTGTAAGAGCTAGACCAAAATAGTACGGCAGGTAGCATGTGCATATAGGAAACTACCATTTCCCGGAATGAATGGAAAAACGAAGCACCCTAAAGCCTATTCTGTATTTTGATCTTACGATGAAGATTTATTTCTTTATGAGTAATAATGGAAATACCTCCATAAAAAAAGAAAAAGAAAAAAACACCTTTTTGTCGATTGTTATTTTTTGAGTAACTTGGGATTCGAACATGCCACAACTTTGGTGCTCACAAAGAGTTTTTCAACATCCTCTTTACGCCAGCTTACTACTTTGTTTACATTTTAGCCCCATTTCATTCATACAACACATTATATGGGGATAATTGGGAAATCTGTCACCTGTCATCGTGGGAGGCCTGTACAGTAGAACATGTCGTATCCTGTAAATCTAGTATTAAATTGTACAAATTCAAAAAATAATAGCCTCCACACATTAAGATTTGTTTGTACATTTAAGTTTTAAGTTATATGCTACTACTAAATCCTACCGTCTGTTGAGGCCTTAAATCAGATTTGTTTGTACATTTAAGTTTTAAGTTATGTTGTACTACTAAATCCTACCGTCTGTTGAGGCCTTAAATCAGATTTGTTTGTACATTTAAGTTTTAAGTTATGTTGTTCTACTTAATCCTACCGTCTGTTGAGGCCTTAAATCAGATTTGTTTGTACATTTAAGTTTTAAGTTATGTTGTACTACTAAATCCTACCGTCTGTTGAGGCCTTAAATCAGATTTGTTTGTACATTTAAGTTTTAAGTTATGTTGTTCTACTTAATCCTACCGTCTGTTGAGGCCTTAAATCATTTTTGTTTGTACATTTAAGTTTTACGTTATGTTGAACTACTAAATCCTACCGTCTGTTGAGGCCTTAAATCAGATTTGTTTGTACATTTAAGTTTTAAGTTATGTTGTTCTACTTATTCCTACCGTCTGTTGAGGCCTTAAATCATTTTTGTTTGTACATTTAAGTTTTAAGTTATGTTGTTCTACTTAATCCCACCGTCTGTTGAGGCTTTAAATCAGATTTGTTTGTACATTTAAGTTTTAAGTTATGTTGTACTAAAAAATCCTACCGTCTGTTGAGGCCTTAAATCAGATTTGTTTGTACATTTAAGTTTTAAGTTATGTTGTTCTATTTAATCCTACCGTCTGTTGAGGCCTTAAATCAGATTTGTTTGTACATTTAAGTTTTAAGTTATGTTGTTCTACTTAATCCTACCTTCTGTTGAGGCCTTAAATCAGATTTGTTTGTACATTTAAGTTTTAAGTTATGTTGTTCTACTTAATCCTACCGTCTGTTGAGGCCTTAAATCAGATTTGTTTGTACATTTAAGTTTTAAGTTATGTTGTTCTACTTAATCCTACCGTCTGTTGAGGCCTTAAATCAGATTTGTTTGTACATTTAAGTTTTAAGTTATGTTGTTCTACTTAATCCTACCGTCTGTTGAGGCCTTAAATCAGATTTGTTTGTAAATTTAAGTTTTAAGTTATGTTGTACTACTAAATCCTAGCGTCTGACAAGCTTGTGTCATATGCGAGGATAATATGTTTACTATTCGAAATTCAGTACGTTTTCGAAATCGTATGAATTTGGAGGCGTGTTGGATTAAATGACTTTAAATTTATCTAAGTGTAAAAGAAAAAAAAAAAGGATTCTATATGCATAATAGACGATTGAGTTATATCCCTTTTTAACATATATCAACTTTTTGAATGCTGGGGATCTAAATTGTCGTCTGCTTGATTTCATTTTTAAGTTCACGAAATCAACAACAACAACAACAACAAGTTATAATAATAATAATAATAAATAATAATAATAATAATAATAATAAAAATAATAATAATAAAATAATAATAATAATAATAATAATAAAACAACAACAACAACAACAACAACAATAATAACAATTATAATAATAATAATAATAATAATAATTATACGAGGGATGATCAAAAATAAACCAGACTGGGGCTGTCAATTGAAGAATTTAGAATCACTTATTGTTATATATCAAATTAATAATAATAATAATAATAATAATAATAATAATAATAATAATAATAATAATAATAATAATATTAATAATAATAATAATAATAATAATATTAATAATAATAATAATAATAATAATAATTATAATAATAATAATAATAATAATAATAATAATTTTTAATTATAATAATTATAATAATTTTAATAATTATAATAATTATAATGATAAATGATAATAATAATAATAATAATAATAATAATAATAATAATAATAATAATAATAAAAATAACAATAATAATAATAATTATAATAATAATAATAATAATAATAATAATAATAATAATGATAATTATACGAGGGATGATCAAAAAATAAACCAGACTGGGGCTGTCAATTGAAGAATTTAGAATCACTTATTGTTATATATCAAATTAATAATAATAATAATAATAATAATAATAATAATAATAATATTAATAATAATAATAATAATAATAATAATAATAATAATAATTATAATAATTATAATAATAATAATTATGATAATAATAATATGAAATAATAATAATAATGATAATAATAATAATAATAATAATAATAATAATAATATAATAATAATAATAATTATAATAGTAATAATAATAATACTGATAATAATAATAATAATAATAATGATAATAATAATAATAATAATAATAATAATGATAATAAAAATAATAATAATAATAATAATAATTATGATGATAATAATAATTATAAAATTAATAATAATAATAATAATAATAATAATGATAATAATAATTATAATAATGATGATTATTTGCAAAGGCTACAGTGCTCGCGCAATCGGCTAAAAGATAAAGATACCAGTATGCCGATTTGACAAAGATTCCATGCTACTCACTGCCCAATACTAGAATTTTAAAACTGAATTCCATTAAGCTCCAAAATCATAGCATGGCTAGTTTATTGTATAAATTTAGCAGAGTAAACGGGTTCTATTTTGAATTCTGTAAAAGTCAATCGGAATTCTCCGTTGATTATATTCCAATGTATGTGGAATTCCAAAGTAGCGAAACGTTGCGTTTATATATTTTTATGAATCGACATAATCACACAAATGTAAAAGCTGATGAAAGTATTTACCATGAATGGGGTTTACATAAAATTGAAAGAAAACATATTCTGTATTTAAAATGATATCAACGAAATATCTATCGGAATCGGGGCCACTTCCGCAATGCGCTATGTCCAAATCTCTCGTGGGTTCACAACCCTGAGTGGTGTGACATAAAATATATCGTATGTCTATGACTGATTATTCCCTGCGGTCTGGAGACCGCACGGTATTGATACGCGTTTAACTATTGAGGCATGGAGGAGCACGTGACCTGTTTTCGGTACATGGAGGAGCATGTGATCTGTAAACCGTACATGATTGGTTAATTGACCTTTTCGAAAACCTGGCTAAATACCGTTTGCCGGTACGTTACGGATAATTCTCAAGGGAATAAGTCAGAATTACACCTAATTAAGAACTAAAAACCATTACGTGATATTTTTAATTTTCTATAATTATAATACCGTTTAAGGTGGAAAAACTTGAATGATGTGTTTGAAAATTATCAATGTTTCTTTAATATGTATCTCAAAATGTTACAAACAATAAATTATTTATACTGAAAATCTACAAAATTAAAATATTCGTAGTGACATCTGCCATAATAAATAGAATTTTTTTTTTTGCTCAAAATATTCATAAAATGGTAGGACTATTTTATCATTTTCTTAAAAAGAAATAATTGTTTTATGTTCGACCTTCTCCGGTCATTAAAGGTCTCCAGTTTCCAAAGACCTTCTTCTATATTGGTCGATTATTGTCAACTATATTCCTGATACAAACGTTTATTTATCCACCCACCCAAACAATGTTGAAGATAGTTAATGAAATATCTTTATATTATCAAAAATGTTCCCCGCAGGAAACCAATTTACTTGTATGATTTTCTGTTTCGAAATTTGGCGAGTCAGAAAAATGCATAGTTTAACACATATGTTTTGCCCCTTTTGATGGCTCGGTATGAACAGCATTCTTGTTTGTCTATCAAATTGTCAGAATTGTTATAAAAACTTATATAACCTAATTTTATTTTTCTAGAGGTTTACGGTGAACAAACCCACCAACTGACCAAAAACAATGGCTTCAAACTTCCGGAAACTCGCAACCAGGGAAACGACGAAAGTGAAAATTTGCTAACAGAGTTGTTAAAAATGTCTCTATCACGGAAAAAGACATTGGAAGAATTAAAACGATATCGATCGCAGAAAGAGAGCCAAATAATTAAACCGGAAGTTCAACTAGCAGACGACATGAAAACTCTAGAGGCGCTTGAAAATGTTCTTGTAAAGCGTTTGCTTTTTGGGCGAAAGATGAATTCGGCTTTAGATGAGTGGATTATTGCCAAAATGAAGTCGCTGAGCATCACGGGAAACGAAATTGAAAATAGGGGGTGGGGAAACAAGGGCATTCCGCCTAAGAATGGATAACTAAAACGTGAAAAGTGCATGTGTTCTTCTTTTATATAAATGCAGTTTTTATTCATTACATTTAATATGAATGAACTTTGCCCAACAAATAATGATTAATAATGCATAGATTTCTATGAAAAGAGTAATTAATTTACATTATTATTTCATCCGGTGATATTTCAATTTAGCATTCAATTAAATATCAATCCATTTTATTACGTATATTATGTAATATACTTTAATTTTTAGGGAAAAAAATCATTTTTCTGACAGATGAGATAATATTTTGACGATGACATCATTTCCGGTTTCTTATTCGATTACAGAATGTAATAAGTTTGTTTTCTTTCGATGAATTCATTATTATGTAACATTTGCCTATGCTTCAAATAAAAATCAACTTTCATATTTTCTAATTTTGGTTATACATGTAAACGTGCCCATTTTTGTCACAATTCTAAGAAATTTTCCTTTTTTTTCCACCTGGTCAGGATAACTTTCATTTTTTGAAAAATTATAAATAAATGAATAAATAAACAGAAAGAAGCTTGCTGTATGATGGTTTTTTGTGACACACAAACATTTCGCATCTTGCACGCATGACTTAATTTCAAAGGATGATATCAAGTAACATATCTTTACATAATGTATCCAACTAGTTTAGCCTTCTATAATTTCATTCATACTTTACTATGGTATGCCACTATGTTTAAGGAAGTTAACTATTCTCATCCTTCATTTCTATTTTAAGACCGAAAATAAATAGCGTGTGAAACCGCTATAATGTAATCATATACCTTAATGGGCATTTGCCTATTGTAAATAGCACCGCCCACCATTAAAATGATGGGCAACTGTAAAAAAAATAATAAAACATGGTTACAGAAAATTATATGAAAATTAAAAATAAATTATGGAAAGGGAAAAGGATCTGACGAATTAATAATTGATTGAAAAGTTCACACCTGTACATAACCCATGACCCATGACTTTAACTCATAGAATTTCCCCATCAAATCATCGATTTTAAAAAATCGTGATCGTCAAAATCGTATGAATTATAGTCAAATCGGATATTTCACATGGGGGCAGTAGTGCAAAAGACGAAATGAGTGTTTGATTTTCGAAAAAGAAGAAGAAAAGGGAAAATGAGAATCGGATATCACGAAGCCTGAGTAAACTACTAATATGCATTTTTGTGAAAGAATTTCATGTTAGTCAAAGAACAAAACTTCGTAAACTAATGAACAAAAAGTTGAAAGTACATTTGGAAATAAATTTGGGTATATCTTTGAAGAAGACATCGGTGTGTCTGCTGCTTTGGCTATGCCAGATAATCGTCCATTTTCGTCAGGATCCGGTTAAATACGCCAATAAGAGGTTAAGAGAGTACAATTGCAAATTAATTAACAAAAAACAAATTACCTCCCTAGAATATTCTCGCGCAAAAAGACATTTGCAATTTGTACTAAACGCCTGATTTGTATCAAATCTGGATATGACTCTCATTTTGAATATAATTCTTACATTTCACCTTCCTAAGATCCCAGCCCCCATCTATACTTACGAAGAAAAGAGGGAAACTATGGAGGGCGATCGTTGCCAAAATTCCAGTCATGTAATGTGATCCTTTTGAAAACTACTTTTGAAAATGCGAACGCTTATGTCTAGCATTTTTTTTATTGTATTTCTGCACAACAAATGATATGCCTCTTAATACATCTTTTAATTGAAAGCACCCGCTTTTAAATAACAAGTTTAATGTTAATCTCAACAACTGACATAACATGTAGAAAACGACTAATTTACAAGTTCGTATCTTCCATTGCATATAATAAATAAGCATGTTTGCACACTTGTAGATATCTATCTGTACCTGAAAAATACAAATGAAATGTAAAACTCGAATACAGAAAATAGAATTTAATAAAACGTGTTTCCAGTCGTAGAACTACAACAGTACGTTTACACAGTAACACGTTTAAAAAGACAAAAGTAAATTCACAAAGTTAAACGATTTTAAGTCATGCATGACGCCCCGCCCCTCTCTGAGTACTTACGATCTTCTATTACGAAATGTACGGACAGGTATAATACCCGTCGCCTCTCTCCTATTTCTCAATAATGTGAAGGAAAACACGGCGTCCATTCTAACTATTTTTATTTCTATAAAAAGTCAAATATTTTTTTTGTATCAAATGAAAGATTACTCCATAAGCTTTGTATGAGTGCCTCAAAAATAAAAATAAATTAAATAGATGTATTGAAATTTTTGTTTCAAAATTTATCATTTTTTCCTTTGAGAACTGGTAAGAAAAACACGGCGTTCCCTCCAAACTTTTTTATTTCGTAATCAATTTTGATAATTTTGGATTGAAATAAAAGTGTGCTTCATACGATTTATAATATATAATGCCTAAAATATAACTGAATTAAAACAAAATGAATTAATTTTTTTTTGTTTTAAAGTTTATCAAGTTACTTTCTGTAAAATAGAGAAAATAAGAATCCTTAAAGAACGCTCAAAATGACAAAATTGAGAATGTTGCAGGCTCGGTTTGATTGAGCCTGTTCATGGACGGTAATGGAAAGTGCAAGTTACCGTCCACGCCCCCTAGCACCGTCTCAAGCAAAATTCAACATTTAATATGAACTGGTACAATTTTGAAACTTCCGCACATGTGATCATATGGCGATTATCATGGAACCTTCAATGTGACACGTAAGTGCCATAAAAAAACGGCACATGGTCCCCAAGTAAGAAAACATAACACACTCTGAAATTCAGTAAGAGATACATGGCGCCCCCTACTAACTTTTTTATTTCTTGGTCAATTTTGATAAATTTAGACTCAAGTAAAAGAATCCTTCATGAACTTTCTAGTGATGCCTTAAAAATGAAAATTACTTACGTATTTAAAATTTTGTTTCGAACTTATTGTTGTTTATTTTTCTCACTTAAAACCACACTCATATATTTGTCAGGAAAATCACGTCGCTTCCTTAAGATACTTTATTCAAAAAAGAAAATGAATATTGACATAAGCTCTGGACAAGTATATTAAAAATCTGGAAGCAAAGTGATCCCTCGGAAGCACTAATCACAACAAAATTACATAAAATATGATAAACAAGATTAACAAGGAATCCCTAATGATCCCGAATGACCTGAAAAATATAACAACACTGAAGTGGAGTACGGGGCAACTTTTTACAGCTGCTACACGGCACTTGACACCTGCTGTTGTGAAGTATAAAAATCTTGAAACAAAGTGATCCCTCGGAAGCATAAATCACAACAAAATTACATAAGAAATGCAGACTTGGTTTGATTGAGTCTGTACATGAGGGATAATGAACAAGTGCAAAATGTTTTTATTCATACTGAAAATACCATATTAAAGATTGTACATATGTGCTACGGATAAGTTTTTTTTTTGATTTCGGAAAGGAAATCTCGGTGGCCGCTTTAAAGTCCTATTTTTGCAAATACTTGCATAGTTTTTGTTGAAAATGAAATTTGTGCCAATACATTTTTCAATGATACCAATAAAAATACATGTATTGGATGGTCTTTAGATTATCAATAGAATTACTCCCTTGAAGTTGGTCATTGTTTGCCCTAAAAATTTCCAAATCGCCGATGTTTCTCAGGAAAACACGATGTTAAATAATAAGTTTATGCATAAGTTATCTTCATCATAAATGGTAAAACCAGCAATTTTCAAGTGATGTTGCTAGCGACAAAACTTTTGTAACAAATGAAACAAATATATATTATGAAAAATGCGGTATGTTGTCCTTCGGTTTTATTTAGAAATATGAGAGAGGCGCCGTTTTATACCTGTCCGCAATAGAAGTTCGTAAATACTCCGAGAGGGGCGGGGCGTTATGCTTGACTTAAAATCGTTTAACTTTGTGAATCTACTTTTGTCATTTTAAACATGGTACTGTATTAACGTACTGTTGTAGTTCTACAACTGGTAAAACGTTTTCTTAAACTCTATTTTCTGTATTTAAGATTTACATTTCATTTGTATATTTCATATCTATAAGTGTGCAAACATGCATATGTATTGCATGCAATGGAAGATATGAACTTATAAATTTGTTGTCGCTTTAGATGTTAAGATTAACATGTAAACTTGTTATATAAAGGCGGGAACCTTCAATTAAAAGATTGAATTAAGAGACATATCATGTGCTATGCATGGGTACAATAAAAAATGGTAGGCATACAAGTTTGCAATTTCAAAAGTCATTTTAAAAAGGAACACTTTACATGTCTGGAATTTTGGCAACGAACGCCCTCCATAGGAAACGGGCCCCAATGTTATAAAATATTTTCTTCTGAGCACTGTCACGATTCTCAGGTGAATACATTTTACTATGGAGGGCGTTCGTTGCCAAAATTCCAGACATGTAAATTGTTCCTTTTAAAAACTACTTGCGAATGTGTAAGTCTAGCATTTTTTATTGTATTCGTGCACAGCAAATGATATGTCTCTTAATCCACTCTTTTAATTGAAGGCACCCGCTTTTAAATAACATGTTGACATCTAGAACTTGCTTATGTATTATACGCAATGGAAGATACGAACTTGTAAATTTGTACTTGTTTTCCATGTTCATTCAGTTGTTAAGATCTACACGTAAACTTAATATTCAAAAGCGGGTGCCTTCAGTTAAAAGATTGGATTCAGAGACATATCAATTGCTTTGCACGAATATAATCAAAAACGCTAGACATACACGTTCGCATTTTCAAAGTAGTTTTCTGGAATTTTGCCAACGAACACCCTCTATACAATACAACGCTTGAATTCAGACCGTAATTCTGTATTGTAAGAACCATCAGGCTCTGCTATCTCCCCTGATTAGTGAACAGTTTAATACCGTGATATAACCATGTTCTGAATAATTTGGGATTTGAACATACCACAACTTTGGGTCTCCTAAAGAGGTTTTCAACATCATTTTAACCCCATCTAACTACATGTACTATGTTTACATTTTAGCCCTAATTGTTCTGGAGTTTCATTCATTAAACAAATTATCAGTGGATAATTAGGAAATATGTCATCTGTCATCGTGGGAGATCTAGACAACAAGTATTAAGAGATAGAACATGTCCTATCCTGTAAATCTAGTATTAAGTTGTATGAATTCAAGGAATAGTAGCCTTCACACATTAAGATTTGCTTGTACATCTTAGTTTTAATTGATGTTGTACAGCAAAATCCTACCGTCAGTCTGTTGAGGCCTAAAGTTACCAGCGACATTTTATGATAAAACGATAAAAAAATTCTCGCGGCTTTGAAATGGCCGAAACCGGCCACCATAAATCACAAATAACCAAAACTCTAGCCCTTTGCTTCGTTAGACACGAAAAGAGGAAAATTACTTACAGTGACAGCGGGAAGAAAAACTAGGCTTTTTTTCTGCCAATGTCTTCTAAGCATTCTACCACCAAATCGGCACGGGGTGAAAAAGGGTGTGTGGATGGGGTTGGG